AGCTCATGGTTCTTGGACGTTTCATTACCCAACTAGATAACATCACCAGTGTGGGGGAGAATGAAGTTTGCTGGTTGTTTATATTTAGTAGCTTTTGAATGGTGTGTAAATGTGGTTTATCTCTATGTGTCTACTGATGGCTGTTGTCTTCAAAGGAGACAGCAAAAAAACTAGGAAGGAAACAAAAAGATAAAACACATCCCCTCCAGCAGCCAACACTCATATATGTGGGGATTAACACCAGACAAACAATCAGGCAGAAAACAATACTCTAATCAAGGAACCACCAAGGAGGAAACCACACCCCCACCAAAGCTGGCAGGACAAGCTACTATAGACAAACAGGCAGCAAACCCCCAACTTGCACTGACGATGTTACCTAGTTGGATAATGAAACATCTACAGGCAAACAACCAAGCTCAGAGAGCACCAAAGACTCCACAGTGTAGAAAGTTTGCCCTCAAAAATTCTGACTATACAAATATCAATCTTTTGAAGAAGTCTGTTCACTAATTCCACCAAATGGGTCCTCCTTCTCTTCCCAATTTAGCCATATGAGTGGCCACACCCAGTTAAGGAGGATGAAGAAAAGGAGGTGAAATCAGGCTTATATACTCAGCATAAAGATGACCCTGGATAGGCAGAAGCAAACTTTATGCCAATCTGGTGTGGTAATACAGTGGCATTACTGATAGGACATAACAGCAAAGAAGAGTGTGAGGACAAGACCATAATTTAAACAATTAAATGAAACTATTATAAGATGTGGTGGAAAATACACATTTTTCTCCATGTCAAAAAGTTGGTTTTTTTAAACAAAATAAGACAGAATGTATCCACTGAGTCCTAAAAAAAACTTCTAAAGTTCTGATTTGTTCAAAACAGAAGCATCATCTGACAAGAAGTTTTCTATTCACAGTTTCTTATCAATTTTAATGAGGATTCTGTACTCTCTGTTGAGAGCAAGAGAAGGATATGAGTCATGCGGATGAGCGAAACAGTTTTCTTTATTTATAAGGTCTGCTAACCATTGCAAGTGGAACTTAGTATTTTTAAAGTTCTGGTTTATGAATGTATGTTTTATCCCCCATGCTACATGACTCAGAGATATAAGTGGAAACCAACTCCCTTGAAAAAGTATTCTCTCTGAGCTGATAGGAGATCTCTGGGACGTTTTGAGAATGTATTCCTACGGACGTCACCAAATGATTCTGCATCCATCAATAACAAGCCTGCTGAAGTTTAGAAAAATCTTGTTGTTTTATGAGATTTTTATCCCACCTTTCCCACTTCAAAATAGGGAACATGGTCTAATTTTTAATGAAATCGTTTCATTAATTCTGAATGTCTGTGTATCAGCAACTCCAGCTATGTATTGCACAGTATATATGTGTGTGTATATATATATATATATGCAGTATATAAAGCTAAGCCCATGTTTTATGTGAAACACACACAGACAGCAAAAATGTGTCAATAATGAAACGTTCCGCAACATGAATTCCTATGTCATTTGTCTTTCCACAGCTTAAAAAGATCATTTCATCATTAATTTTCTTTTACAATGCTGTAATAAAATCTTAATTTTACTTCATCCTTCTTCAGAAGACTATCAAAAAATGTTATAAACTCAGCAGAACACAATTAGCTAAGTAATAAAATATTTAGATTTATTAGGCAAACCAGAAGCTAGGTTTCAAAAGAAAAGAGTTAATCTATGGAGATTTGTATAATAAAATCAAAGTAGGTAGCTAGTATATGATTCCAAAGTTTACATCGTGTTTTATGTTTCCTGTTAAGCCTGCCTGTGAATATGGCTGTATTGTTACTCATATTCAGCCAGACTTATAAAAAACCTCTTTTCTACAAACAATTTGGAACATACAAAGAGTTGATTTCCCCAATATCACCTTCTGATCTGGTTCACTCACATTTCAGACTCCTTCTCCTGGGCGAGATACTGGGTATGTAAAAAGCAATTAAATCTTTTCTGTTTCTTATGGTTAGATGTATAAGTGTTTTGTTTTGTTAATCTGGTGAACGTGGAATGGCATTACAACTGTTTTACCTTACAGTACGAAGCAAGAATTCTACTAAACTAGTTATATTAAGCCAGTTGATGTACCAACAGGAGCATCCTTGGGGGGAGGGGTGTATGTCAAAATTTGCAAGATGGTAGGCCCAATGCAGATTTAATTCCTCTCCCCCACCACCCTACACACACCCATGTATACATATAAACAGTACTTTCCCTCTGAAAAACTTAGCTTTAGAGCAATGGCATGTGTAAAACTTAATCTCCCCTCTGGGGGAGATGGGCAGCATATAAATGTAATAAATAAATAAATCACGGTAGATATTGTTCAATAGTTACTATTTGCAAACATACTGTTTTTTTCTCTCTCTTCTGGAGTGAATTCAGAGAAAGAAGAAACTCCTGTAAACTATCTTTGTTGCTTATTGTAAAACTAGAAAGCTGTAACGGTAGCTGTTGGCCAGTTCCCGTAGCACCATCACCTTCTGACTCTTCAAACTAATTCCCATTTTCATACCGTGATAAAATGTATCCAAATAAACACCATTCAAGCTGATTCAGATATGAAATTGGTACTATTCATATTTTTCTGCATTTACCTTACATCTTCAAAATAGCAACTGGGAGTGATAAGATAACGTTTAATTCATTTTAAAAGGACAAGGGGGAAATGTATGCATGTATTCCACCTCTCTTGAAGCATCTATCTTTGATGTATGGACTTGTAAATCCATTGTAGAAAAAAAAATGTTGTAACAATACGATACACTCTTCAGAGACAGTGGAAGCACAACAGCTCTTTCTCCTTGTCTTCTTGAAACAGTCGCTCATTCTAGGCCAGTCTTACCAAATCAATTTTATTGCGAAGAGAGAACAATGGATAGGGTTTTTTTAATGCCTTTTTAAAACAGCTTCTCCCATCCTGGGCTTTTCTGCTACCAGTTTACTAGGAATTGTAGAAGACTGACTTTCCATATCCAGGTAGATCAATCTCCCCAGACACCTACTACCTTCAAGAAGAGGGAGTTTGAATCATGGCAACGGATCTCCAGGGAGTGATGTCAGGTTCAGCCCAAAGAACTCCAAGAGACAATGCAAATACAGTTCTGTTGCGTTTATAAGCTCAACCCTCAAGCCAGAAATCTCCCCGGTCTGACCCCCATTCCCCAAGCCAGCCAGCCACAACACCGTGAATTCCTTAGGGAGGTGCCAGCCTCATCTTCTT